TTGTGAAAGCTTTCAATATTGTTGAAGTTCTAAAGCTTTCATAAGCACTTTTCTGTCGACAAGGTTATCAATTCACACTTCAACATATAATTGTGGACATACATAGAGCATTCATATTTCATTTTGTGCTTTCACTAAAAGCTTAGGTTGAAACTTAATATTCAACAAAAAAATAAACAGACTTGCAAAAGGCTCTATATCACACTGATAAAGCACTGAAAAGCTTTCACATGCATTTTTAAGCATAGTTTTTTCAAGAACTAAATTAATTTAAAACAAACAGTTGTTATCATTTTAATCTCTATGCTTACAACAACACTTGCAACATCCACACTTAATCATTTTATAAAGTGTGGCTGCAGTCAACTCAAAATAAACAACTAAATGTGCTGGCAATTACGATATAACAACAATTTTATGTTTTTTTAATGACTTCATCATTCATTGGAGCCAATGTCACCAAGCTGTTTGTAAAAATTTTTCCCATCAATACTTATTGCTAATACTTTGTGGATGGCATAAAGTGCCAAACTCATTAGCCATGTGGCGCGTGATACCCAAACGAACGTACCGCCATTTACTATATATATAAACACGTTGACGTTGCCACCTTTCGGGCAAATGACAAATGATGCACAGCAAGCCAATAACGGTCAGCAACGGTTGCAGCGGTCTCAACGAATGACATTCGGCCAAATGGTCGACTGCCCAAATGACTTTAACCTACATTTCTGCCTTATGCTGTTTGCTGTTTGGCAGCAAACGTTGCTTTCAACACTCACTTAGTACTTGAACTCGTACGAACTGCATGACTAAGTGTCTGCAGCAGAAGTTTGCAGATAAAAGTATACGTAATTATGTAACCAGCTATGCGATGCAGATGGCAAGCGAGTAAGTACATTAAAGTAAAAGGAAGTCAGTGTAGCAGTGTTCCACTTGTCCACTTGCTGCACATCGTGAGGCTGCCATTTCGCATTTGCGCTGTGTTCACTTGAGAGCTTCACATATGAGCTCATCAAATGCCTGTGTGCAGTTGTTTAGGAAGGATGCTAGGCAGTAGGTTGCAGTTGTGATAATTTGTTGCAATATTACGAACCGTTGTACCAGAAATTTGAGGGCCTTTATTACGCTAGCTACTCGATGGACGTGTTGATGTTTTTGATATTAAGGCTAAAAGTGAAACAAGTGTCAAGCTTCGATTGTTGAAGCTTTTGCATGTTGGAATAAAGAGGCGTTGCTGCTCTCGGAGACCTCCTCGGTGTTAAGTTGCACTTGCCCTACTATGCTATGATATTCCAAAAATATATGTATTCTCTGCATATTTTTATGAAGGGTTTGTGACTCCGCTAATATTATATATAAACCTGAATGTAGGCAACATGTTTCTAATTTTAATAAAATTTCAAAAAAAAAAAAAAATGCAATGAATATTGGCTATATTGGAGGTTATAAAAGAGGTAAAATATATAGGAAAGTACTGCCAAAAGAAAGTATAAATTGCTGCTTTTCTTCTACTTAAAAACCGTTACAAATTTACATATTGCTATATGTTACAAACATTACTAAAAACAGCAGTAAAAAATTCAAGGAAACATTCACTAGTTTAGGAACTGAAATTAATGCAAGTAATTAGTATCCTTCCATTTTGTAGATAACGAACAGTTTTGGTTGGAAGCATAATATTTTAGGTATACTGTCAGCGGCAAACTCAGGCAGTAATTAATTATTAAACACGACTGTAATACCAGAGTCAAAGTCGTACTGAAGGGGGTGGCGGGAAAGTGAAAGTTTGAGCATGTTGGGGAAAAGAACTGAAACAAAAAGTGAAGAGCTGACTCAAGCCAACACGAAGCACGAAATTAATATATTTTCATTACGCTTGTTAAGTTTGTCAGCATAGAATTAGACGCGGCTACTCAAGTAGTAATTAATTTACGGGTTGTGCACAGAAATCGAATTTGACCTACTAAAGTTTATGGAAGGAAAATGGAGAGAGAGAGAGAAGGAATGTAGTAATATACTTATACAGATGGGAATAGGGGACAGTATACAGTTAGATAGAGGTGTATTGCAGGATACAACACAGTGTAAGTGTGCGCGCATTAAAGCAGCATTTTAGGCGTTTAATGGTTGAAAAAGGTTGTATACGGCAAAGTGTTTTCAATTGGTTTGAAGTAATTGAATTACCTATGAGATGGTTAGAAGGGAACATGGGGTGGCATTTAAAATACGAGTTTAAGTATGATAGCTGTTGTCTGCTGTCATTACTTTGTCAATTGGAACATTTTGAGTAAAGTAACTTTTGTTATTATGGTAAAAGTGGATAAAAAATTGTTCTGAGCGTTGATTAAATACTATGTTTGAATGCAAAAAACTACAGCTGAAGCAAAAACTTCGCATGATGACGAGTTTCCGGATATTGGCTCAAGAAAATCGACCATCAAGGATTGCTATGCCAACTTTTGACACCGTGAGATGATCACCGAAGAGGGTGAGGTTGTTACCGGAGGCAGCAGCAAAAACGTACACAAACGAATTATCACTTCTTTGCATTGCTGGGCAGGGCCTCTGAGTCACTGAGTAACATCATTTCAGTCCGAAATGCTCCAAAGCACCTTTAAAAAGGAATCTCCATCAACAGCGACTATCCAGCCGTTATTGGACCGTTTGCAGGTTAAAAAACCGAAAAATGACCGAATTTGAAGAAAAAGAAAGTGCTGGTCAATCAAGGCAATGCATCGTGAAACTAATTAATAAAAACTATGGCATGAATAAACGAATTCGGTTTCGAATTGCTTCCATATTTCCCAGATGTGGTCTCGGCGAGTATTTTCTGTTCTCAGATCTCGAAAGAATGCTCGCTGGGAAGAAATTTTCCTCGAACGAAGAGGTGATGGCCGAAATTGAGGCCTATTTTGAAGCAAAGGACAATTTGTACTACAAAACTGTTATCACGAGATTGCAAAATAGCTATAATCATAATATGTATCATTCTTGAAGTGAAATATGTTGAAAAAAAAAAAAAACGAACTTTTGTAAAATCATTCAGAGGATTAGATTCTAAACAGCAAAGTCCGGTCTTCAAAAACTTTCTTGAATATGTAGCGAGGTTATCACCTAAGGCATAGCTTCATTTAGCAGTCTTTTTTGGAAATTATGCACTTTAAAATTGAAATATGGTGGACGAAATTTCTAACTTTGGTTTTCCGTACTCATTACAATGGAATAAAAAATCCTAAAACTATATTTTCTCCCAGCTATTCTGGCTTGCTAAGAAAATTATGCATTCAAAATGGAATAGCAATGCGCTGCCGAGACTCTCTTCTGTGCACACATACCGAAATATTTTCGAATAAGCCATTCTAAAGATATTCAAACATAAATTTCACATTTTTAAGCGCGGAAATGAAAATGTGTAAATCAATGCATTTTCAGCAATAAATTAGAAGGAAATCGAGCGCACACGGCGACAGACAATTGTGTAGCGCACTGCGGGTGGTGGACTGGCTACAGCAGCGACTAGCTGCCGCATAAATACCTGACTGCACACACTCATACCTTTGTAAATACAAGTAGTTTGTGCGTGTGTGTGTGTGTGTGGCGGCACTGCTGCGCTTGCCAAAGATTTATCTTCACCAAACATCACAAATCCGTAAATCTATGTTACGGAAATGATTTCGTGTCGTTTGTTAATGACAACTTTCGTGCAAGAGAACGACTTTTCGCTCTTTCCTGCGGCATTTGGATTTATTAATTAAATGATAGATACTTATTTGTGGCATTAAGACGCGTTGCTATTCAATTGAATGAAATGCGCGATGAAGCGAAGTATTTTACTAATATTCGTTTTATTGATTAAAAAGTTCTTTGTAAAATAGCTTTTTCGGTGATATTCAAAATTTGCAGTGATACAAAAATTTTCTATATAATCAAGTTTTGGTTAATGGTGGGAGCAACAGTCTCATGTTCGAAGCAAAAGTGCCGAATTATCAGCAAAAACGGAAAATGAATGAAGCGCACATAAACATATATATATATAGTTTGCGAATAAAATTCCGTTATTTTCTTATACGACATGTTGTTAAACACATTAAACTTCCTTTGTGATTTAAAGCCAAAATAAATCAGCGCTGACAAAAGGCTTGTCATTCAAGTGAAATTCTATGAATTCGCTTATCTCTCGGTGTCGGTCTATATACATACATTAGAGCGGATCATTTTAAAAGGAGCCGAAACGACTGAAAAATCGCGTATGCGGGATATGTTTAATGGATCCTTCCGAACAACTTCAGAGAGTCTGGGTCTAAAACCGATTTCGAGCCAGCGATTTCCACAGATCGCCTAAAACTTATTTTTCCATTAATTTCTGCTTCGTTAAGTTTTACTTAAAATAACTTTCATTTAACTATGAATTTTGCTTATTTTTTTTTCAAAAACTATTTTCCCTTGTCTAAAAGTTTTTTAGGAAACTTAGTGTTCTACAAAAATCGTGGAGTTTCGCGTTACAATAAAATGCGCATACTAGAAAAGACTTTCTCTGAAGCGTCTAGGAACATATTTTTCAGCTTACGAAGCGAAAAACCCCTACGTGGCCCACTTTAATACACATAGTTATATATGTATGTCTATTTATCTACTATATAGAGAAGATTTATTATTTGTCTTCAATATCATTGCTAAAACAATGTGGCATATAATTAAATTGCACTTTCTCTAAAAAAAAGTACCGTAATAATTGTTACGAGTATATTGGCTTCTTGGAACTGCTTGCCTGAGTTTCGAAATTATTTACGGCGTGATTTTGTGTTTTTGCAGAACAATTTCTATTTCTGATTTTGTTATGTGGTTTTACGACAGAGTTGGCGCTAAGCTGATAAGGGTCTACTGCTACATGAAAAGCTAAATTTATTTTACTGTATACTCCTTTAACCAATTTTATTATGCTGATAGTGGTGTTGTTGTTTTCATTAATATATAAATTATATATTCTATTTTTGCAGGTTACCACAGCTTACGGTCTATGCCAAGATTATTTACCTCCTGATGGTGAGTGAAATTTATAGAACAATTTAACGAAGAAGTAGCTGGAGAAGTTAGTTAATATTAACAGTATTTGATGAAGTTATTTATGCTATTTTTTGTTAATTTTTTTTGTGTAAAAAGTATCTTAGAAAATTTGAAAAAATTAACAAATAATATACAATATGGATAAAAAACAAAAATATTCCGAAATTTTTTAAAACTAATTCATTTATTTGGAACGGAATTTCCATCAAACCGATCAAGCACTGCCTTTAAGTCTTTTATTTACAGTTATTTTCCAATGAAGTTGCCTTTAATTAACAAAAAATTCCAAAACAACTACAAAGGCTAACTTCGGTTGAAGCTATAATAAACAACACAAAGGATTCCTTATAAGGATTTCATATACACTGTTCAGTTTGTATGACAGCTATACGCTATAGCGACTTGATATGAACAATTTCTACGGAGATTACATCGCTGGCTTAGGGAATAACTCATGCAAATTTCGTGAAAATATCTCATGAAATGAAAAAGTTTACCATACATAAACTTGATTCCCTTCCTTCAGTTTATATAGCAGCTATATGCTAAAGTGATCCAATAACGACGGTTCCGACAAGTTAGTCGCTTTTTTGTTTTGATAAAAAAGAACGTATGCAAATTTTTAAATGAATATCTCATAAACTGAAGAACTAATTCGCGTATATACAACTATTTCGGAGTAGAGTTGCAACCGATTGACGAAATTGAGTCTGAGCAAAATTTTACAAAGTTAATGCCAAGCGTAACAGCATGAAGAATAACCGATTTTTCCAGCCCTCGAAACACGTTTCATAAGCACTTTTTGGGAAGGCCTTTAGCTCTTTCAGCGAATTTCGTTTTATCTCCTCGATGAATTGAAAACGGGTGCCACGGAGCGGCAATTTCAGTTTGGGGAACAAGAAAAAATCACAGAGAGCCAAATCTGTTGCATACGGTGGTTGGGCGCTGGTATTAATTGCATTTTTGATATTAAATTTGGTCACAATCGTGTCCCGATGCGATGGTTCATTATCATCGTGTAAAATCCATGGATTGTTCTTCCACAATTCCGACGGTTTTCGACGGATGTGAACTCTCCGTCATAATGCACCAAACGACGACTATCAAAAAAAAAAAAAAAAAAAAATTCTTTGTGGGTTCCGGTTCGTTTTTCTTTGCCATCTATTGCTTTGATTGTTGACTTATTTGCATGTCAAACGCATGGTCCATCGTCTCATCGGCAGTTATAATGCTCTCGATGAATTTTAGATCCGAATTCGCATTCGCACGATCAAACATGTCCAAAGAGAGCTGTTTACGATATCCGTTTTTGAAAAAGTGCAGCTTTATTGGGATTATTCAAGTGGAGGTATGGAGCTCTCTTCCTATATCTCTGACTCAAACGTCATATTCTTCATTTTTTCATTTTTTTAATATTTTAATCAGCAGAAGAGGTCTAATGTCGCCCCTATAACGAGGCATACGAACATAACAAAAATCCAAAAAATGTTTATAAAAACAGATATGCTTTTTGGTATAAAAGAAATTGAAATTTAACATTTAGAGGTCCGACCCAAAAATTTGTCGACCGCTGTTATTATTGGTTTATTTTTATTTTATTTAATAATTTTTGTTTTTAGTGTTTTTAATTTTCTCAAATTAATATTTTGTAAATAAAAGTAAGAGCCCATTTGCTCGCTAATTAAATTATTATGCCGGAATTATTTGTTTACATATAAGCTGTTGGCGTTTACCTTCTCCACTACACTACATACAAACAATACATACAAACGCGAAAAAATTATGAAATTATGAAGTTTATTTACACATCCGTGATTGTTTATGGGCAAATTGTTGACATTTTTGAAATTCCAACAGCAGGCTAAAACGGTCTATCACTCACTCACTAACTGTGCGATTGCGCAGAGTAACCCAACGAGCGTAACTTGTGAGGTAATAAGTTATTAGGTGGTTAATATATACAAAAAA